CCCCCTCAGAGGAAGGAAGGAGTTGACAGCTTTGCTCAGGCTCTGCATGCCTATTCCCCCACTGTTGGAACTGACCCCACCGCCTGCCTGCTCCAGACCCGCTGTCCATATGTTGATGATCATCATGACACCAGCAGCCAGCATTCCTACCCTGGTATAAGTCAGTGGTGGTCCTCCCATCTGCAGAGAGACGGGGCCTGTGGAGGAGGCCAGCCATGGGACATGGAGAGAGGACAGATACACACAGCGAGGAGGGTGGGAGCCATCCTGCAGAGTCCCAGCAAGGATGTTGAACCCAGGGAGAGGCCACAGAAGTGCTTTCTGACCTGGTTTGGGGCCTTCAGGGAACCAGAGGAGTTTCCCAGTGCAAAAAGGATCAAGGCAAGAAAGTGACAGAGAAGAGGCTGCCCCAGAAGTCCCCCATGGAATATGAAGGCTGGGGGGAAATACAGATGGTTTCAAGCTTCACGTGGGAGAGGAAGGAACAGAGAGGCCCTGGAGGACTGAGAATTTCTTTGCTGGGTGCCTTTGTCTCTTCCTCCTGTTCTGCATCAGCCAGAGCTCAATCAGAGCAGTCCAACCTCCAGTGACTGGAAAAAGACATCAGAGATGACAGGATGAACATAAAACCAGATAGGAAGAAACCTCACTAGGTGTTCACAGTGCTGAAAACCAAAGCTAAGAAGAAAAGTCTCAAAAGCAAAGGAAAAAAAAAGAGAGAGAGAGAGAGACAAATGACCTTCCATGAAAAAGCGTGTCTTCCAACAGAAAAACGGACGCTGGAGGCCAGAGTAATGATTGTTCCTGAAGAGCTTAAAATAAATAATGCTCGTATAGAAGGAAAATAGCCTTCAAAAGTTAAGGTACAATAAACATTTCCAGGCAATCAAAAACTGGAGACTTCACCATCAAAAGACTCACAGTAAAGAACATGAAAGGATCCCTTCAGGCAGAAGAAAGAGAATTCAGATGGAGCGGGGAGATACTGTTATGCTCGAATTTGGGACCCCCAAAGACCACCAGAGACCCAAGATCGATGTAAGCAGCAAAGAGGTGCTTATTGCGAGCTAGCTCGGTCCTCCGCGCACACACACAGCAACTGGTGACACTGAGAGGCCCCGAGCCCAGGGTTTGCAGCAGTTTTATACATTCTTTGGAGAGGGCAGGGACTTCACATACATCATAGCAAATCATCACACACCGCGGGAAAATCAAATAACAACTCTAAAACATGATTAGCACATTCACTGGCGGGAACAAGTTGGGTAGGGGTGATTGGTCAGTACAAAAGGGGTATTCGTTTGAACTGATTGGTTTGAGCCAAGAGGGGTGTACGTGCTGAACTACATGGTTTCCCAACTTGTTATCAACCACCATAAACCACTGGCATCCCAGGTATTTCCCTGTCTCATGCTGATTGGTGGCTACTAGGGGGCTGCTATGGATCCCCACCTAGCCTGACTGAGTCAGGGACACCTGGCGCAGCAGATCTCTCCTGTTATTTGTAGATAAACAACTTAGCAGGGTGGGAATGTGCCTAGGAGTGCTCTGTGGGTTTTTCCAAGGACAAAGGTGATGTCCCTTCCTTGGACAGGTTTTGCTCTGAGATAGAGGCTGGTTTTTCAATACAAAGGGTTTAAGTGCAACAGAGGTGAATAAATATATAGTGAAAACCAAATACACATTGACTATTGAGTAATAAAATATATAATATAGGTTTTGGTTTTTTGGGTTTTTTTTTTCTTTCTTTTTTTTTTTGTTTTGTTTCGTTTTGTTTTGTTTTCAAGGATTGAACCTACACCTGCTTAACCACTGGGCCACGACCCCAACACTTCTCAATTTTTTTTATTTTGAGACAGAGTCTCACTAAGCTGCTTAGGAAGTTGCTGAGTTGCTGAGGCTGGCTTTGAACTTACAATCCTCATGCCTCAGCCTCCCGAGCGGCTGGGATTACCAGTGCAGGCCACTGCACCTGGCTTATTTTATTTTTTTACATAGACCCTTATTATGTTGCCAAGGGACCCACATGTCTCAGCCTCAGTACCCTACCCCCAGTAGCTGGGGCTATCAGCACATACCATTGTGCCCAGTTTGGATTTAAAATTTATATAGAATGCAAACATATCAAAATAGCATAGAAGTCAGAAGTACTATATAGCATGTCCCAAGGTTATTACATTGTGTGGGAACTGACAATAGCATTATATTACATTATACGGTATTAAATTTAGGTTTCTTAATCTGTAGAGTAAACAGTAGTAAAGAAACATATAAGTACAGGATGAATATGTATAAATACATCATGGAAATGGGAAAAAAACCTCAATCAACTCAAAAGAAGATTATTAAAAGAGAAAAGAAATATATGACAGGCTGGTCAAATTTAAAGTAAATAGTAAGATTAGATGTAAGTATATCAGTAATTGAATGTAAAAAGATTAAATACTGAAATTTAAAAACATAAAAATTTTTATGGGGCTGGGGATGTGGCTCAAGCGGTAGCGCGCTCACCTGGCATGCATGCGGCCCTGGTTCAATCCTCAGCACCACATACAAATAAAGATGTTGTGTCCGCCGAAAACTGAAAAATAAATATTGAAATTCTCTCTCTCTCTCTCTCTCTCTCTCTCTTTCTCTCTCTCTCTCTCTCAAAAAAAGGGATTGCTTGGTGTCCTAGAAACTTCATAAAAAAAATAAAAACAAAAATTTTTAAAGATATCAACTGTATGCTATTTAAAGAGATACTCCTTAAATATAAGAATTGTGAAAGATTAAAGAGGTAGAAAAAGTAACTTATGTTAATACTAACCAAAAAAGTAAAAGAAAAAATATTTCAAAAATGAAGAGGTAGTTGGGAACAACAAAAAGCTCAACCTACCAGAAATTTGTAACAGTTCTAAATTTGTGCACTTCTAATGAAACAGCCTCAAAATATATAAAGAAAATTGAGGGCTAAAAGATGAAATAGAAAAAAATCGTGATTATAGTGGAAAAATTTAACACATTTTTCTTGGTAACCAATGAAATAAGCAGACCCTAACTTAGTAAGAATATAGAGTATTTGAACACCAAAATTGTAAAATTTTAATAAGTGAACATATACAGCATTTGTTTATGAAGTTCAGGATAAACATTCTTTCAAAAGCACATAAAGCATTTGCTATATTTGACCACGTCCTAAAAAACAACAACAACAAAACTAGAAAATATGAGACAAAGACTATATTGTGATGGAAACTGGAAAATATTCTGGGCTGAATAGTTGTTTAGGTAATTGAGAAACTGATTTTAAAATTTATACAGAAAGGCAAAAGGTCAAGGTTATCCAACACGCTGTTGAAGAACGAAGCAGGAGCATGTTGTCTACTGCCTCTAGAGATTTCTCCCATTCATAAAATTTGGCACTGGCGAGAGGATGGAGGATAAACCAATGGAACAGAAACAAAGTCCAAAACCAGACCACATGTATACGGATCCAAGGCAGCACTGCCAAGCCACAGGGAAATGAGGGTCACAATGGTTAATTTTATGCATCAACTTAACAGGGTCACAAATACCTGGACATTAGATGAGACATTATTCTAGGTGTTTCTGTGAGGGCATTTTTGAATGAGATTGACATTTAAATCAGTAATCTGAATAAAGCAGATTGTCCTCTCTAATGTTGGTGGACCTCATTCAGTCGGTTGAAGGTCTGGATAGAACAAAAAGGCTGACCCTTCTGCCTCTGAGGGCGAATTCCTCTTGCCTGATGGCTTTCAAACTGGGGCATGAAGTCAAATTAAAACACTGGTTTTCCTTGGTCTGGAGCTTGCTCATTCTCAGTTTCTTTGGACTCAAACTGGGACTAATCAACTCCAGCTTGCCAACTCACCCTGCAGTTCTTGGGACCTGTGGGCCTTCATGATCCTATGAGCCAGCTCCCAAACTTCATATTAATTGGGACTTTCTGCAGAACTCTGATTAATATGGTCTTTACAATAAAAGATACTAAGTTCATTTTGTACTCTTATGACAAAAAATAAATCTTGAATCCTTCTTCCCACCAAATATAAAAACCAAATAGATCAATTGTAAATTTAAGCACCAATGCTAAAACAATAAAGCTTCCCAAGTTAGCATAGGAAGATATCTTTATTGCCTTGGGATAGAGAAAGATTTCTCATCAGATCACAAAAGCCCTAACCATATAGAAAAGATTGATGCATTTGACCACATTAAAATCAAGATCAATTGTGAAGCTGGGTGTGATGGGGGTGGTCCCAGCTACTCAGGAGGCTGAGGTGGAAGGATCACTTGAACTGAGTCTGAGGAGTTTGAGAACAGCCTGGGAAATATGGTAAGACCCCCATCTCAAAAGAAAATAAAAATGAAAAAGAACAATTGTGAACAGGTGCTGTGGCACACATCTGTAATCCCAGCAGCTCAGGAGGCTGAGATAGGAGAATCGCATGTTCAAAGCCAGCCTCAGCAAAAAAAGGAGGTGCTAGGCAACTCAGTGAGACTCAGTCTCTAAATAAAATACAAAATAGGGCTGGGGATGTGGCTCAGTGGTTAAGTGCCCCTGAGTTCAATTCCTGGTACCAAAAAAAAAAAATTTGGGAAATCCATCAAAGCATTCTACCCCACCAAAGGAGGCAGTGACCACTCACTTCAGAGAGATATCTGTCATATGAAGAGGAAACAGCTCAGCATGATTTCCTGGGTGATGCCAGCTCCTGGTCACCCTTCGGTAGACCCAACTTCCTCATAAGCACCCCAATCAAAAGAGCCACTGAACAACTCTTATGAATCACTCTGATATCCATAGGCAACCCAGGGTGGACCGCTCACATGATACCAATCTATTTAAAATTTCTGGTGAAGGCACGTGAAATTTCTTTGTTTCCATGGTCCAGGGCTGCCTATAAAAGAGAAGGGGACAGCTCAGATCCTGGAGAGCAGTCCCAGTAGAGAGTCCCCATCCCAGCTCTGGGTGCCTCCTCTGCAGGTCTAGCGTCATGAAGGTCCTTGTGGCTGCCCTGTTTGTCCTCCTCTGCACCTCGACCCTCTGTGCAGAAGGTGAGTCTGTTGTCCATCTTCTTTTAATGGGTGCTCCCTGCCCAGAAGTCGGACCACACTGTCCAAGTGCTGTGGCTCAAGGACTCCCTGTGAAACTAGAGAACATGGAAGGGCTTCAAAATAACACAGTTGTTTTCTTCAAGAGGGTCCAAAAGTGGTCTATTGATCTGGGCTGGAGGATAGGAGTTGGAAGAGGTTTTTACCCCATTTTTAGAAGAGATCATTGAAGTGTAACTTATTGGCTTTTTAGCATAACCTAGAATCAAGGTCTATTTAGTTCCCGTTGGTGCTAGTAAGTCTTAGAATTACCTCAGTGGTCCCCAAGAGTTTAACCCCTTAGATAACTTACAGGACCTGCCTACTTTTCTCAGCTACTTTATGATTTCATAGATTAGGAAAATAAATTTCAGCCAGGCCATGGTGGGTGCACACCTATAATCCATCTTGGTACCTGAGGCAGGAGGATCGAGAATTCAAAGCCAGCCTCAGTAACTTAGGGAGGCCCTAAGAACTCAGCAAGATCTTAAAAAGGGCTGGGGATGTGGCTCAGGGATTATTAAACCCCTCTGAGTTCAATCCCTGGTAATTTTCCCAAAGAGAGTTAGGAGAAGGGAATAGACTATTTAGAGAATCTCAGGAGAAGGGAGTAGACTGGAAAATCCAGTTTCCTGTAGAGAAAGATAAAGAACAAAATGAAGAGACCAAAACCAAAGACTAAAGAAATCAATAAGAAACAAAGAAACACAAAGCCAAATTATTTCTAGTTTCCTTTTCCCCTAAGCCTCAACTCTGCGCAATGCACTCACTCAACTTCTTCCTGACCCTCTGCAGCTTGTCTGTTCTCAGTAACTCCTTATCCCCTCAGATAGGAGCCAGGAACCGTCCTCCTGCTGCTTTGCCTACATCTCCCGAAAGATCCCCCGCAAACTCGTGGTTTTCTATTATGAGACCAGCAGCGCATGCTCCTCGCCGAGTATCATGTAAGTACCAGTCCTCCTGCCCAGCCCCTCCCGGGGTGACACAGGACAGTGAGGGTGGGGGCTGCCTGCAGGAGTGGACCTAGGAACAGAAGGAGCCCATTGGGGGCTAGTGTGCATGCAGGACACAGAGGGGGGCTGCTGGGCTGTTTGTTGACATGGGCTGGGACCTGCAGGGAGGCAAAGAAGACCTTCCCAGAAATGGAGGGAAAAAAAGAGAGAAGGAGACAGCAGAAAGAAATTCCATGCATCACTCAGGGAAGACTAGGGGGCCCCTGATATTTGGAGGATTATTTCTTGATATAAAGTATACCAGCCTCAATCTGCAAGTGGGAATGAAGAGGAAGGAGCCCCAAGTGATCAGGAATGTCCTCACTCAGTCTCTAATACTTCTCCCCTCTCCATAGCTTTGTCACCAAAAAAGGCCTTCAGGTCTGTGCCCATCCCAATGAAGCCTGGGTCCAGGAATACATCAGGGACTTGGAGTGATCCAGCAAGAAACATTGAGAGGTGTGGGGAGATGGGGATCCAGGGGACTGTCCCTGCAACCCCCCAAAGTCTTCTCTCCTATGGGTCCCTTCACCCTCCACTAACCATACTCGGAAACCTTTCTTAATTTTACTTGAGTTAATTAAATTAGATGCTGTAAATCATTTGACCTTCTGGATGTTTCCTCTGAGAAATCATATGGCACCCTCTTTTCCTAGCCCTCTTCCCTGTCACTCATATAGTGGTTGATTTGTACTTAGGGGGATTGTGAAAGATTGTGTCCTTCTCTAAGGCCTTACTGGACCAAATCCATCCATAGATACTTACTGAGTTTTTGTGAACCATTTATTGTTACAAAAAAAAAAAAAAGTCAGAATAATAAAAAATTCTTTTTATTTTTCTGAAGTAAACCTTGGGCTTCTGTCTATTCTTTTGTTTTTGTCTTCCTGACAAATCATGTTCATTGGCTGGAAGGAATGACGGCACCCAAGTAGGAAAGGAAAGCAAGAGAAAGAGGACAAGTGTCATTCCTGTGACACTCGGCTGTCTGCTGGTGACACGTTCCTCATTGGGCAAAGACAAAGAAAAATATTAAAAACAAATGCAAACCTCCACGTACCAGGGAAATCACCACTTGAATGCATACCCAAGCCAGGCATTCTGTCAAGCACATTTATGTATTTTAATAACTTAAGGGTCCTTGAGAACAAAGGCTAACAGTTTTTAAGGACTCTTCGGAACCATGACCTATACTGAGATTTATACACATTGTCTACTCCAGTGACCCTCATTGACATGAAGGAACAGATTCAGAGACTTTAAAAAGCATGTCCAAGACAGATTGCTGTTAACGTTGATCAGAGCAAGGCCCACATTCACAATCAGCCCCTAGGAGATTGTCTCTCCATGTGCCTCTGTTCCACATGAAACAGGTTTAGCAGGAATGCACGGCTCCCCAGTCAGAGACAGCCTGCTCCAGGCAAGATGTTACCTCCCGGCACATCACATAATTCAGAGAAAAATCCAAAATCTTTCTACCCAGACTTGATCTCTAATTGCCTTCTCAGCTGACTGCTGAGAAAGCAACAGACTTGAGATGTCAAGTCAGAAAGAGGAATGGAGAGGCCACCCTGAGCCCAGAAATTTCCCTCCTGGCTATCTCCTTAATCATTTTGCCTTTCTGAAGAGCTTCCAAATCTGAAGAGGCCAGCTGGTCTCTGCCAACCCTGGTGTTGATCAAGGAGGAAACACAAGTTTCCTTTTGGAAACTTCTTTGAGTTCCCTTTGGCTATGTGATGAGCAGTGTTGAGATTTAAACCTGGGTACAGTTGGGGCCTTATTTTCCTCCTTAATCATGGTCTTCGTGCCCCACAAGAATTAGCCTAGCATGTCCTCATGCCTGGAGGACTTTGGGAGGTCGGGATATAGTCCTTTTCCCACACTCTTATCCCTCAGACCCACGTCTCTCAAGGTGCTGTTCCACCTGGAATAGATTTAACCTGACATTCTCTGTTCCATGATGTGGCTCCAGCTCACCAGCTCACTCTCTTGGGTGGGCAATGGCAAGACGGGTCATATCCCTCTACCTATTGTCACATCTTCACTTTTCTCTTGCTTATCACACTAAGTGTCAGGGTGCAGGCCAGTCCTCTCTGCTTGCCATCTCATTCATTCCCCTTCCTCCTGTCCAGCCACACTCTGGACCCATCAACAAAGGCACCCAGGTGATGCAATGCTTCTCCTGGAGATGATCTCTGGTGTGGTCATTTTAGCATAAGAACCAGCTTTCTGCAGCAAAATAAATCCCATGCAACACGTTAAGTTGCATGTACAAATTAAGGAAACCAGAGCAGTAAAAATTGCCCAAAACTGGAAAATAAATGAGTAACTTATTCATCAAATTAACTTCAGAACTTTGAGATTTAAATGAGAAATTCACATCTACTTCCCCAATTTTAGGAAGAGTATACACAACTTAGATGAACTGATATTTTTTTATATATCAAAACAAATGAATAAGAAAATAATAAAGAAATATGCTACAGTTTGTATAAATGTCCCCGAAAGGCTCATGTGCAAAAGACTTGGTCCCCAACCCATGACACTATTGGGAAGTGGTGGAACCTTTAAGAAATGGGACCTTAGTGGGAAATCTCCAGGTTGTTGGAGGTGAGCCCTGGAAGGGGATAGTAGGGCTCTGTCTCCACAGCCTTTTTCTTTTTTCTTTCCAGTAATAAAAAAGCAATTTTTCCTTGCCACGGTCTCTTTGTCATGATGTGCTTTTCCACAGCATGATTTTTGCCCCCAAAGCAATAGGGCCAATCAATCACAAAATGAAACTTCTAAAACCATGAGATAAAAATAAACCTTTTCTCTTCGTAAGTTGATTATCTCAGATGTTTATTACAGTGGCAGAAAGTGCATTCACACAACATCCCCGAGTATATTATATTAAATGCTATAATTTCATCTCTGAATGAAATTTAAAATTTCTCTTTCCCATTATCCTTCCTTACTATTATTAGAATTGAAAATAAATGTCCACCCAGAGGAGGTCTTGGTGGTATTGAATCCAACAGATCGGCAGGGGTGTTGGGGTTCAAGTGAAGAGTAAACTCCATGCCAGTTGCTCCAGTAGGCAGGCAGGTCAGAGCTCCACACATCAGGACCGTCAAGTTTACCTCTTCTGCCTTCTTTTTTATTTATTTTTATTATTTTTTATTTATATATGACAGCAGAATGCATTACAATTCTTATTACAAATATAGCATGATTTTTCATATCTCTGTTTGTATAAAAAGTATATTCACAACAATTCATGTCCTCATACATGTACTTTGGATAAGAATGTCCATCACATTCCACCATCATTTCTAATCCCCTACCCCCTCCCAGCCCCTCCCACCCCTCTGCCCTATCTAGAGTTCATCTATGCCTCCCATGTTCCCCCTCCCTACCCCACTATGAATCAGCCTCCTTATATCAGAGAAAATATTCGGCATTTGGTTTTGGGGGGATTGTCCAACTTCACTTAGCATTATCTTCTCCAATTCCATCCATTTACCTGCAAATACCTTCTTGCTATTTATTTCTTTTTTTTTTTTGTAGATAGACTTCTTACAGATTTATTTCTGTTATAGATAGATATATGCATATATACTTTTTTTATACAATCTATATTCCCTTCCCCACCAAACTCCAAAAGGAGATATAAATCTTTCCAGGATTGCCATTGGGCTTCCCAAGATGGTCAGAGCCAAGAAAGAACCATTTCTCAACATCTCAACAGCTGTCCTTCTTAGGCTCTAGAATCATTGAAGCAGCAGCATTTCCAGGATCCAAGGGGAAGATGGGGGAAAGGAAACTGTAGTGTGCTGGGACTCTAGAATGAAAGTGTCCAGTCACTCCCAGAATGGCAGGGACTATATTCTTATGGTAAGAATTCTGGTAGGGCCCTCACTTTTCAGATGGTAGCCAATAGGCACGGGTAGGGAGTAGGAATCAGGTATTTGACATGCAGGGAAAGGGTGGTAGAAGGAACACCCGTGGCTTATGCTGGAGACTGAGCAACCTTCAGGACTACCCACCTACTCAATGACAGAAGTAATAAACAGGGACAGATGCTGAATTATTGAAGAAATAGAGAGGAGAGCATGACAGGGAGAAGGAACAATAGAACACATGGGAAATTCAAGTAGAGCAAAAAGTACCAATAAAAACATGACCTGTACTGGCCTCTTCCCTAGAAAAGATGTAATCTATGCTTTGGGGTGCAGGAGGTGAAAGGTCATGAACTAGGATTATCAGCTGGCCAGGGGCACAGGAAGGCTCTCTGAGGATTCCTAAGGGGCAGGTAGACAGGCAGCTGGGGCCCCATATCCCCAGGAAAGAAATAATGAATCCCTTCAGTTTGACTTGGACCAAATCTTGGCACTCCCTCGGAGCCCCTTCCCTTTTGAGGCCTTCTTGCTGGGCTGGCGCTGGTTGGTGCCTGGAGCTGGGTCCCTCAGTTCAGTCAGGTGTTGCTTGGGGTCCTGAGATGTGGCTGCAGCAGCTGCTGCTGTTGTAACTTTAATGGTTTTTTTTAAGGTTGACAACCTCACTTTCAATCTGCTGCTTTAGGCCCAGCTGCTGCTCCTTGTGCTGGTTGGCATGGCTCACTTACTCCTCCATACCTGACAGCACAACCTCACAGCCCACACACCACTCCTGCATGGTTCGGGCAATGGCACTAAGGTCTTGGAGCTGGATGTCCCGTCCAATGCTGTAGTCAACCTCTAGACGCTGATTGCGTTGATCCAGTGAGCCGCGAAGCACATCAGCATATACAGCCTCAATCACCAGGTCTTCTAGCTACCGCAAGGGCTTCTAGCAACACTGCATATGGGATGCACTTTAGCAGCCAGGGTGACAACTGAGAGGTGTCAAAGTTTATTCTTCTGAGCTTCAGTGAGTGGAGGAAGATTCCTGGCTTCAGCTAAGTAGTCGGCATATGTTCCATAAGCAAACACTGTGAGCAGCTGGAATGTGGAAGCAAAGTCACTTTCAGCCAGCTCTCTAACATTGGGCATATCCAGCAGTTCCCCAAACACGTAGACACCAGGGGTCTCCAGCACCTAGTGGATGAGTTTGGCCAGCGCTGCCCCCTTGGCCGACTTGGCCAGGAGCAGAAATTGCTCCTGGTTCTGCCCTGTCACCTTCACCTCCGCCCTCATAGCTGTACTGAGCTGTGGGAACCTGGGCTCAGGTTGTCTGGAGCTGGAAGGTTCGTCCAGCTGCGGGGTCACCTCCGGCAGCTGTTCCGAGCTTTTCCTGCCACCCGCCCCTTCAGGGTCGCTCTAGCCCTTGCTATTTATTTCTTTATGTTGAAAGGGTAAAGTCTCTAAGCTACAAAGCCTGAGTTAAAATGTAAAGGACCAGGTATTGTTAAGTTTCTAAGCTACACTAAAAGCCTGAAATTCCTGTAGCTGTTAGGACAATTCCCGGGACTGCCCATTAGATAATCCC